CGGTAGTGCGGATGCGTTTGCATCCCAACAGATTCATCAGCTTCTGGAAGGTAGCGGATTCGAACTGTTGGCCTCTGTCGGTTGTCACGGTGGAAGGGCATCCAAACTGTGAAACCCATCCTTCGACGAAACCCGACTTACTGTTTCGGCAGTAATGTTAGACAATGGGATGGCTAACGGCCAGCGAGTAAACCTATCGACACATGTCAGTAGGTAACTATATCCATTGGAGGGTGGAAGTGGGCCGACAATGTCTAAGTGGACATGAGCGAATCGTGAGTCCGGTTTGGCGAAAGTTCCAAGTGGTGGGATGTTGTGACGATTCACCTTGGAACGTTGGCACTGAATACATGACCGTGTCCAGTTTCGAACATCACGGTTAATACCAGGCCAAACAAACCTAGCAGATATGAGCTTGTCAGTGGCGCGGATGCCAGGATGTGAAAGATTGTGCAAAGCATCAAAAACATGCTTACGCAAGGGTAAAGGAACAACCGGTCTGGGTGTGCCTGTGGAGGTGTCGCACAATATTGACACTTCACTGTTCAGGAGCGGTAACGCTGTATCTTCAGAGAGGATGAGTGTTGAAGTTTTTCAATCTCCTCGTCTGAATCCTGAAGTTCGGCAATCTTCCGTAAGTCGACTGCTCGAGGCAAAGTAGTGGTGCAAACGCGAGACAGTGCGTCCGCGACAGGGTTATTCGCACCAGAAATATGACGGATGTCCGACGTGAATTGCGAAATATAATCTAGGTGACGTAATTCACGCGGTGAATATCTGTCAGTAGTGGTGTGTAAGGCATACGTCAGAGGTTTATGGTCGGTAAAGATGATGAAGTCACGACCTTCCACAAAATGACGAAAATGTTTCACTGAGGCATATATGGCGAGCAGTTCCCTGCCGAAAGTGCTGTACCGCATTTCGCAGGTGGATAACTTCCGGGAGAAGAATGCAACTGGGATCCAAGTGTGATCCGAAAGTTGTTGCAACACAGCTCCAATGGCCGTGTTAGAGGCGTCAACCGCAATGCTAAGAGGTAGGTTTACGTCTTGATGCACCAGCATCGTGGCGTCTGCTATTGCGGTTTTGATCTTGCGAAATGCTTCTAGTGCCTCAGGAGTCAAGCTGAAAGTTTTACATTTACTTTTCAGCAGGTCGGTCAGTGCAGTCAAAATGTGTGCACATTGGGGAACGAAGCGACGATAATAGCTCACCATACCCAGAAACACACGCAGAGCTTTAAGTGACCCTGGGACTGGGAAGTCTTGGATCGCCTGTACCTTTTCAGGTAGTGGGCGAATGCCTTGCTCGTCGATAACGTGTCCCAAAAATTTTAGTGAACGAACGCCAATTGGCATTTGGCCAGGTTGACTGTCATCGAATGCTCTGACAGTCTGGCGAAAACCTGTTTCAAGTGGTTAAAATGAGTGTCTTCGTCTGGACTAGCGATTAGTATATCGTCTAGGTAGGCATAGGCGAAATCGAGTCCACGTAAAACATCGTGAATAAAACGTTGGAAGGTTTGTGCTGCATTGCGAAGACCAAAAGGCATACGGAGGAACTCAAAAAGACCAAACGGTGTAATGACGGCTGTCTTGGGAACATCATCAGGATGAACCGGGATCTGATGATATGCACGCGTCAAGTCAAGCTTACTGAAGATAACCGAGCCTTTTAAAGATGCAGTCAAGTCGTGAATGTGAGGGACTGGGTAACGATCTGGAATCGTTTTAGCGTTGAGCCTTCGGTAGTCACCACAAGGCCTCCAGTCCATGCCATTGTTCTTGGGTACCACATGCAAGGGTGAAGACCATGGACTGTTGGATGGTCTGATTATTCCCATTTCAAGCATGTGTTCGAACTCGGCTTTTACAGCACGCAGTTTCTCCGGGGATAATCGCCGTGGTTTCGCAAACACTGGCGGGCCAGTCGTCGTTATGTGATGAGAAACGTTCGAAGTCACACAAGGGACACAACGACTTGGCTTAAAGACATCCGGAAAGGACTGAATGATAGACGCGTAGGGACTAGAAGCGTCCGTCGTGCAGTACACGGGACTGAGGGGCGGCGTCTTTGTGACTATACCGGAAACAGAGAGTGTTGTGGTAGAATCTATCAACTTATGCTTGCCAGCATCTACCAGCAGCTGATAGTGCTGCAAGAGATCCATACCAATAATACCGGTGGTCACATCCGCCACTATGAAAACCCAACGAAAGGGACGACGCAATCCAAGGTTGAGATCGAGGAATCTCCGACCATAGGTTGTGATGGGCGAACCGTTGGCGGCACGAAGTTGCAGAGACATTGGCCGCAGACGCTCTTCCTTCGTAGGTGGGATGACGCTAGCTTCTGCCCCAGTGTCAACTAGGAAGCGTATCCCAGAATGTCGATCAGTGACGAAGAAGAGGCGACATGGAAGTGGCTCGCCAGCGACGTTAGTCGCCGTCACGTGCTGGCTCACACGTTTCCCGCCTGGTTAGCCTCGAAGGTGCAAGGTCGAGTGCACCTTTTGGCATTGGCACCATAACGTTTATGGTACCAGCACAACCTGGGTTTGTTTGTCGCTGATTTGGAACGTCTGCTACCGGTACGGGAGGCAGACCTGTTGCGCGAGCGAGACGTGCGACCGTTGGAAGAACTACCAGACCGCATTTCGTTCCTGATGCTGCACAACTCTCATACAATTTCGAGATGTGAGCTATAACATCGAAACTTGTTGGCTCACAGCCGAGGAGGATGTGGGTTTTTGACGAATCCGTGGCAGTAGACAGTGCAGCTGAGATACTAGTGTTGGGTTTCGTAGCATCCACAGCTCTGTCAGCCGCTTCCGCCAGCTCTATTAAGGGACACTTATGGAAGGGTGCGAGGATCCCTTGAACCGACTGTGGTAACCTCTGTAACCACAGTTGCTTGAGAAATGCTTCATCAATGTTGAAGTCAGCAATCAGCTGCTTCATCTGACGAAGCAGTTGCGTCGGCTTGCGATCACCCAGATGCACATCCCTGAAAAGTTCTTGCACTTTCTGCTGGTCAGTAAGTGCAACACGTTTGATGAGGGCGGTTTTGAGGCGATCGTAAAGATTCGGTGCTGGGTCATCTAGCACATCTGAGACGTCTTCGATCACATTTTCCGGTAAGCTGACGATGACTAAGTTGGACTTAGTTTCTTGTGATTGAATGTGTCTCAAGGCAAACTGAGCTTCCACATGGGAGAACCATGCAGATGGTCTGTGGGCCCAGAAGGTGGGAAGCTGGAGGGTTACGGCCATCTGCGCAGTCGAGTCGTTATCCGCCATTGATCAGGGAATTAACGAGGCACGATAGTGATAATAAAAAAAATTACAATGCAAAAATAACCAATGAGGAGTGCAATAATAAAAAAAAACGCTAGACCGTGCCAAAAAAAAAATAGGCCAGACAAATCAACGCAAGAGAACAAAGGTACTAGACAAAGTAAGAAGTGATACTCGGGCTCACCAATTTTGTAGGGATGCGTGTTACAATTCCGTAACGTTTGATCAACCCTACTTAATTTGATGTGCTCTAGTACCTGCTTAACCAGTACTTTACCTAACGTGTAAGTACTGATAACAAAACACAAATCAAAAGAACTGATACGCAATGTATTTAAAGGAGCTATGTATTTAAGGTAAATGTGATAATAATGAATGAGGGAAAAGTTTAATCAACTTATCTGGCTTGTAAGGCTGAACTAGGGACTCGGAGTACGTGCGTGGTGATCAGCACAATGGAGCGCAAAAATGGCGTCCAAGCCTGCTCGGATGCATGCTCGTTAAAACAAAACTTAAAACACCCTAAGCATCCGGAGGCAAGCTAGAGATTTATTTAGTTAATTTAATTTAAACTATTTATTTCAGCCTTAGTTATATTATGGTGCCAGGAAGGTCCGCTACAATAGCATGTTTTCACCGTTTCTTTAATTTACTATCATGCATCTTATTCACTAATTCTAAATCGTTCGACAAGAACTGTATGCATCACACTGCTGGCCACACCTCTGCCTCATGTTCTAAGTAAGCGGTGAATCCCAGCGAAGTGTTTAGGTCACGACCGAAACGCAGGATAACAGTTCTCGTATACTAAGTTGAGGTGGTCTATAACCACCTAAAGAACCGATGTGTCAAGATAGTTCTAAAATGTCCATAAAAAGCCCAAGCAAAGCTAGAGAGTTTATCTAGAAATTTTCATGGAAAAGCCTTGCGTGATTATCTTCTGCATTTATCATATTTTTGTAGCCCCTTTTAAGAGATTTTCATGACGCATCAAACTGAGTATTCAGAGTCATTTATGAATTTATCAAATCTGACTGTTATTAACGTAACCCATTTTCCACGCGGTGTTCAACAGCGACAGGCTGAAAATCCAGATGATGACATTCTAGATAGTAAGATGGTGCATGGATCATGATAAATGACGCAACAGGTGAAATGGTACCAACGCGTCACTTTCTACCTGCAGCCAAACTATGAAAGTCAGCATGAATACGGAGTACCACTGGGTCGTGAGCTGTTGACTTTGCGGAGTTATGCGCTGTCGCAATACGCTGATATGAGTAACACTACGTATACGTACCAAACTATTCTCAATGAAGCAAAGCTCATTTGGTTTGTAGTAATTCAAATATCTACATCTAGCACACACCTTCGAATATGCAGCCATTTTCATGCGAAGTGAAGTGAATTTAACACTTAAGTAACAAAAGTAGATGTGTTTTTACGCATAAATGAGCTCATTAGCTGTTTATCGAAGCAGTAACCGAATATCACATATTAGAACAGATGTATTCCCGTTAAAAGTTACTAGGAATGAGCGACTGTTATGATCGTAAAGATATGTGAACTCCACTATAATTTATTGATGGTAGACAAATAGAATTCACCAATAATGGCACAAAATATGCATCTGACTATGTGAATTACACATAACAATCACAGAAGCTTAGAGTTAACCAACCCAGTGAGATAAAAGTCACCTAAGATTAGAAGAAAATTTTTGAATAATCTGAATATTTTTTAAAATCAAAAGAAATACACGATATATGCATCAATAAAGTAACGCAAAATAAAATGATCTTCAGCATTAAAAGCATCTCAAAAACATAAAATGGAATAACTGAAAATCCGGATGCTATTCCAGCTAAAAAAAATGCACCAGACCAGTTGATACGCTCCGCCAGGACAGCGAACGGGTAACCGGCTAAGATAGCACCAACTGAAACATATAAACAAACATCATCATACACAATGAACATTGAGATATAAATTGTACAAATAATGGTATAATATGTCTAATTATAAGAAAGATTATTGGTTAACATATGAAGATGTTAGACGAGACTGCTGCTTCTGAAAGTTAACTGAAATACACACTTTGGTTTGAAGCAATTCTAAAACTGCATCATCTGCTGTTTGAGGAGTCCATGCATCAAGAAAGACCGACCAATTCAGTACAGTGAAATAAACAACAGGAAATTACGAGTATCAATAAATGAGGCAAAATAGATGAATGGGTCGATCACTTCAGTTACCAGAGAAGTCATATCACCCATGTTGATTCCATGGTCAACAATATCGAAGAACAAATATATATATATATATATATATATATATATATATATATATATATATATATATATATATGATCGGTTAGTAGTGAGTAATTGTTATACGATTATGGGAGGATTATAAGAAAGTAACAACTTACTGTTTGCAGCGAAAGCACTAAGTGCATGTGCAGTACCACTAAGACCAGGTGGGGCAAGTTCAACAGCTAGAACACCACACAAAGAAATTGTTCCAAGTACAGTAATGCCAAGCAACGAACTAACAAGCACGAGAACAGTCTAAAGTTGTAATACAGGAAGATGTGCAGATGTTAATACAATTGTTTCAAAAAAATTCATCATCTGGAAAAATAAACATTGTTAAATTTAAGCTAAAAAGGATTTTATGCACTAAGTGCCTTCAATTTGAGCTAGAAAAGTAAGTCAAGATTTAGTCCCCACCTCCATTAAGTTTCGTTACGTCTCTAACAACGAAAAAAGGAGTCTTTTATTTGAGCTAATATGTACTAAATACAAACAAAATCAAAATCCAATCAGCAACCTTGTGCGTATTTATATAATAGTCAATGAAGCACACGAATATTGTAAGAGCTTTTGATAATACTTGGCCGTCCAAGCCTCAGTAGGTGGAACAGGGCTTAAACACGTGACCCAGTGGTTGGAAGTCAACTCCCTACCCCAATGAGCTACAACGTCACTATTTACTCAGTAAGAAGAGTATATATTAGTGTGCGTACATGAAACGTTGCAAAGTCGAATACTGCAAATTTTCATACAAGTGATGAAAATTATAAGAATTTAGCTTATACCTTCTGTAGCATTCATCAAATATCATTTATTTGGGCGATGTTCAAATTGACTTTCTGGTCAAGTTAATCAGGTGATTTTATTCTGTTTAAAATACAGAAATAAGATGATAATGCTTCATTCATGTTATTGCTTTATACAATGCCTGTAAGCTGTACAACTGGGTAGTTTTACATTCAAGTGAAGGATATCAAATGATTTTGTGGTCAATATTACTTCACTGTTTAACAGCTAATAGGTGACAATATCACAACACCGTCCAGTAATGTTAATATCAATTGAAAATTAAGATATGATACACGTTAGTAGCCTGAATTCTCAAGAAGAATCTTTTTTCAATAAAAAGTATGACAAAATTACAGTGTAGTAATATACGGATAGGAACGCTTAAAGGAAAAATAAATAGCTACCAGGTTTCTTCTAAGGTGTCTTCGTAACACTGCTCATGTTTGGTGGAGTCACAGTGTGAACAATGTTGACCTCAGGCGAAGGATACTAGGCAAGAAAGGCAAGTCGATTGATGAAATTGTGAACCTTCATCGACTGGAACAGCTAAGATATGTACTGCGTATCTCAAACCATCACCTACCTCGACATGCCATATTAAAGGGGAAGGTGGATTAGGTTGGAAGAGGGTTCAAGGTGGCCAGACAAAGAACTGGCACCAGACGAAGAAGTCTCTTACTGTTGGTCTAAGGTGTGTAAGGGGATGTAAACTCCCTGATTAGGATCCTCGATACGAAACGAGGATTCCCGGTAACATAGATTAAAATTAGTTAAAATGCCGCAGATGTATTCACTGCTCAACATCTTCTTCTTCAAGTATTTGCACCAACAGTTATCCTCAGCTTTTTTATGATTTCACACTTTGCTTAGTTTGATATCACCTTCTCTATCCATCTGTTATTTGCATATTACTGTAATATATAGCAACTTGAGCTGATGCACCTGCGTGTGAGGTTCTGCGTTGGTTTTGTCAGTATCTTCTGAATAAACAGTGCCTCCTTCGTGTAGAATTCAGGTTTTTGAGAAAAAACTAACGATTGAGCATGTTTTTGAAACACTGCATCAACCACCGACTAAAATGTACCAGTATATGGAGTAAGATGAGTAATTGGATGAGAATTGAAACAAAGTACTTAGACAATATTCAGTAGAGCTGATTTGACACACACGTTTCCGTTATAAGATCCTTCGAAGCCATTCAATAGATGTTACCTATAGATTTATACCTAGATCTGTGTAAGATTAATGACTTGTGCATTTAGACAACAATAAATTCTGAAATCCCCCAATAACTATAGGCAAAGATAGGTAATATGGCATATAAAATTCATACTTACCAGAGGCGCTTTGTGTTCTGCAACCCAACTTAAACAAAGTAACGTAACACTTGTGATCAACATTTGGATAATAATAAATGGCATACGACGACTCGCCCATGAGTTATTCTTCTTCAAAAAAAGGAGAAGAAAAACAAATGATAAACTGAAAAGATAACAGAAACAATCAAGGAAATAATCCTATAAGGTATTCACTAATTTCAGTAGGATGAAATTGCGACAGTCTGAAGTAGTGTTACACTAGATTGATTGGTGAGATTTCCAATAGAACAATTTATCTATTCAAGAATAAAGAAGTGTACAATCAGTGATAATAGGTTTATTTCCAAAACTTTGGTTTATTTGACTAGGAATACGATGCATGAGATAATGAAGATTTCTGCACGATAAAACCGAACAGAAGAATTGATATAAATATTACGACTTAAATTGTCAAGTGTTGGTGAAAAAAAATAGCATTGTATTTAAAAACATCGGGATGCTATTAGGACATCAATAACTTGTTCATTAGACTTGCAACAATTTATTATCTTCATTTCTAACAGCTTCCCATCCAAACTCTTATCGCTCGCGGTAGGGATGATACATTCTGATGAGAGACTCCAGAACACATACCAATCGACTATAAAATGATCTTTAAATACCATAATTAGTCCACCCTTTGCATTCCTCCTTACCAGAGGTGATTATCAAAACTACAGTAGCATACCATCACTATTTATAAACTCCATTTTGTCTTCAACATCATTAAAAAACTGCTGATATTATTATTTCTCTATTATTCTTTATGTTAATGCTCATTTCAATGAGCTGATATGAAATGCACTATACTGAGTAGTCATATAATACTATCGTAAGTTATTTCCATCACACTGAATCAAAGCCACAAACTCTTTTTCATAAGGCCTAAAAATCAGTTTCTTTTAACCCGAAAAGAAAGTTTTACCTAGTTTGTTACTAACTGACAGAAGCAACTATGAATCCATAGATCTGCTCTATAGTTACATGCCAAGGCGTCAACGTGAAGATGTCACACACGAGGCGAGTAAGTGATGCTAGGTTTGGGTTGCCAGCTCGTCAAAATTGGGGACTTTTTGAGCACTAGGAATTACGGGTTGAGCCTAGTTGCGTACGACGATGAGCCTCCTAGTGGCTCCTTTGGATATCAATGAATACACCACGATCGACGAGATCCATAAGCACAAGATTAGTGGAACGGGTCTTCACAGCATGCATGATCTTGTAATCTGCTAGGATTCCACTCACGGCGCTGGAGAGAGCAGTGCAACTGAAAGATAAGGTGATGCCAGTTTTTTTAACTCTGGTAGTCATTGTTGTTGAAGCAATCAACAGAGACGAATATAGTTTACCTTGCGAAGGTGGGCGATATTCGCTCCGAAATCCCAGTGTTTTCAGCCCTAGAATTGGCTGTATTTCAATAACCCGAAGAGAACCACCACTGTGAATCTGTCGGCAACTGGTGTTTATGAGCCACATGCCCTAGAAGAATGTTTTTTTCGGAAAGATAAACTGCATACAGTCTAAGAGGTTTCGGAAACTTCACTGAGATGCACCCCATGCGCATTTTTCAAATGGGGAGCTAAGTAAAGTCAACCCACAGATTACCCGATGAATGTGTAGAAGCCTGATAGTAAGAAAGGTCTAGGGATAACACAAGCCAGTGTGAGGGGGTAAAAACAAGAGGCGTTCATTTTCAAGTCAATAGGTTGCTTGGATGTTTCTTACTCGGTGAGGGGACCGTTCCATAGATCATCATTGTGTATATTCAATTAGCAACTTTTAACTTTTGAAGTGATGTCACAGTCCTATCTTCATATCAGCATTTTCCATACCAAGCTTGTTTTAAACACGGAATACTTGGTTAAGTATTGCTCAGTGTTCCATTATTGTTGATCGCCCATGATTTACGTCTAATATCGCACAAGCTCGAAGATATACAGGCGAAAACCAACAAGTTGACAGGAGAGGCGAGGCAGCGAAGACGGGCCTTCCTTCAGGCGGACGTAGAGAAGACAGAGGTGATGAAGATACTCAACCAACAACAGGCGCCAATCACCATCAACGAGAGGAATTCCGAGGAAGTTGTCTCTTTCACCTACCTACCTAGACAGCATTATTTCAACTACAGGTGGCGGCAGGATCGGAAAGACAGCAAGGCAAACCTTCATTAATCTGAAATAATCAGTGTGGAGATCTACTTCACTCCACTGCACTCAGCATAAAGCGTGAACAAGATGTGGATTTTCAACACTAATTCGGTCAAATCAGTGCTTTTATATGATTCGGAGACTTGGTGCGTCACGAAAAGCATTTCCAGCAAACTGCAAACATACATCAACAGCTATCGCCTACGCTCGCTTGATACTGAAGATCAGATAGCCAGAATAATGAGAACGAGTAACAAGGAACTCTGGCTGGCAATGAACCAACCAAGAATCCATCGCCCAACGAATATGCAGAGGAAAGTGGGGATGGATTGGATTGGGCATACACTGAGGAGACCATTTGGGGACATCACGTGCCAGATCAGGGCCTTCTAGTGGAACCCAAAAGGGAAACGATGAGTCGGACATCCGAGGGTGACATGGAGGAGATCATGTGAGGAAGAAATGAAAACTTATGGGCAGTGGTGGCGTTAGCTTCAAAAGACTGCAGAGAACAGAGTGAAGTGGCGACGTGTTACTGAAGCTTTGTGTTCCACTAGGAACCCAAGAGACAAATCACAATTGTTCATTGTTCCATCACTGTTGATCGTAGAAGTTTTCAAAAACCTTTATTTTAATCCACTAACATAGAATACTGTCTAGAGTCAAAATATAAAACACTAAGTTGGAGTTTGGGATAGTACAAAAGCTTCGAATCTTCGCTGGTCACATTTCACAACAACTCAACATAGTTTTATCATGATAAACATATGACCACATGATGTGTAATATGCAATGGAACTATGACTCTGTTTCCATACGTTATTCCTACCTAATGTTTAAGACACTGTTTCACCATTTTCTCAAATACTTCAAACATGTAATAGATGAGTTGTCCAAAAGATTCAAAAAAAGACCGAACAAGGCTAGTAAACAGAAAAACGACCTACAAAATTGTACTTTATTAACTCAGATGACTTTCATGATCACACGACTTTACATCACGTCAATAACATACAATCAATCAGAAATTATATGTGTAAGATACATTGATTTGTGTATCCTAAAACGTCACACAGAATTGAACATCCATTACATAACAAAATGACTGAGTGACAGATAAAGTCAATGTAGAACCTTGCAAGCAGGTGCATCCCTTCAAGTTGCCACACTTCACAAAGTAGCATGCAAAGAACAAGTGGACAAAAAAAGAGTGACATCAAAGTAGATAAAGTAGTATGAGAGAATGAACAATATCAAGATAATGGTTAGTGTGAATATTTGAGGTTTAGAAGATGTCAAGGAGTGAATACATCTGCACCATTTTGACCGATTTTCAACGATCACCAAGTCCTCGTCTCGGGGACCCCAACTAAGCAGTCTGCATCTCCCTCATACACCTCAGACCAACACTAAGAGATTTCATCGACTGATGCCAAGTCTTGGTCTGGCCACCCTAAGCCTTCTTTCAATCTAATTCACCTTCCTGTAGCATAACACGTCGAGTAAGATTATGGCTCGGTATAGCCAGTACATGCTAAACCATTTCGGTCGATGAAGGTTCACAACCTCATCAATCGACTTTCCTGTCTTGTCTAGTAACCCTTTGACCGACATCAGCATTAGTCACACGATGATTCCACCGAAAGTGAGAAATACTATGAAGATTTCTATGATCGAAGCCTTGTAACCGCTTTGCGTTTTCTAATTTTAATGGTCATGTCTTACCGCCGTGTAACAGAACAGAACGGACTGTAGCGCAGTATACTTGTCCCTTGATATATAACAAAATGACACTTCCTGCAACAGGGCAACGAAGAACTTTACCGAAGTTGTAAGCGGAACAGCCTGGGATATTTCCTACTACTTTTTTTCGGTAGACAATGAAAAACTTAGAAAGATAAATGTACTCATTACCTAAAAACAGATGTTTTTCTGGTTATGTGTAAACCATTATCTCTCTGATCCGAGATATTGTATGAGAACAGTTTATAACTGTTTGAACTTTGAGGTGGTGTGTGCACAGGTTGCGCAATTATGACTTATTAAAATACATGTCAAACTGAGCAGAATTCTTCGATCTTCTATATCGAGTTGTAAATCGCGCTGTCACTCTATCATAGCTAATATATATTAACATAGATGACAGTTTTGTTGCACCGTTCTTACTACAATAAAAATTTCTGATAACCAATTGTACTTTTGCCCACTTTTAAATTAACCGATGGCTTATAGAACTCCTCTTTAACATTAAGTTCATCCACAATCAGCTAGCGTTTATTGATACGAAGACAGGTACGAAGATCGCAATATAGATTGTCGTCTTTACTCAATATCTTGGAAAAATTCTGCTATGAAATAAATTTACAGGATACGATTTTATAGCAGATCAGTTTACTAACCAGATATTCTACAGCGTATATTACTACAAAATAACCATATCAACTAAGTCAAATGATTCACATTTTCCTACTACTGTCAATTCATGATATAGCACAACCATATCCAATGCCATCGTTGAGTATTCGTCCTCACGTCCGACTTGGGCTTCCTCAAAGTTCTAATGAGAAGTCGTAACCGGCGGGCAGAAAATTGAGTAGAACGTGAGGACAAATATTGAACGATGGTATAGGGTGAAGGTTCGGCTATATCGTGAAGTGAAACAAGTTGGAAATTGCGAACCATTAGATATCCATCCAGTAGCTCGATGATAACGTATTCACCCAGAGACCTGAAAGCCCTAGGTTTGATTCCTGACGGAGTCATGGATGCACACTGCTGAGGAGTACCATATTAAGTCAAATGATTTTGGAGATTGAGATGTGATAAAAGACATGTGTGTTAATTGCTCACAAATCAACCAGAAATATTATCACTATCCCGATCAAATAGGACTTTGTCTGGTTCATTTTCACTTACCAACACTACAAGTTAAAATGATGAACCTAAAGAAATCTAAAACACACTGCAACTATCGTTACGCGCCGATGCAATCAGTGGTTAGAACTAAGTAGAATAAAGTGCAGTTTCCTGCTGATTTGAAAAATATTAACTCAGTACAAAATGGCAACGAGTAATGCATTATATTATATTGCATGGAAACAATATCAAAATTATAAAACAAAAACTTCAGGTTTAAAACAATGGTAAAAGATGGCTATATTCTGTCAATCTAACTGAGATGAATTTATATGCAACTCGTAAGCTACTAAGAAACTTATCATAGTCACTCATACATAGTAAACAACTTCAGAGTGCAGTCCTACCTAAAAAGAGTGACGGATATTCCAATGTCAGAGAAAAAAATGTGATCATTGTAACAAACATCATGCAGCTTGAACAAGATCTAACAGACTCAATGTTTTGGGGTTGAATGTTCTTCTGAACCAAAAGACGCTTTGATTGCCACCACTTAATTGCATTCATTGTTCATCTACACTCTCCTATGAACGGTAGCTAGCCTTCAATTTAGCTCAGACCTATACCTGCTTAAAATATTTGGTGCAAGTGAGCTGTTTAAGCTGAACGGGTAACTATAACGATTTAACCAAGAACCAGAACGCAAGATGGGCTTATCATACACTAAGGCACAATCAGACTGCAGACTAATACTCCAGCGGGCAAAAGTACAGAATCATTTCACTATGATCCAACACACAACACATACACAATAAGAGTAGCTAGGCAAGATATTGCATAAGGGGACAGTTTCACGAAAGCGACCGAAAACAATGTAAGCGACGCTTCAGTTAAAAAACCTTTAGGAACTTCGTTTGTCCTGGAGTTCGGATATTTTCGAACACAACTTCTGATATCCGGTCGGACGTCATGTTGATATATACATAAGTTTGTATTCATCATGGACTGACATCAGCTGGAGGAACATTGAAAACCTAGGAGTACTGGACAGCTGTTTTGTCCTAGCATGAGACTCCTCAACATTACGAACCTACGACTTAGGTGGACAGATGTGCTATATCGCAAGTCAACAGAATTCAGAAACTGTGGACCCAATAGCTGAGTGGTAAACGCGTTCGCTGTGAAACATGAAGCTCCTGAGTTTGATCCCTAGCCGGGTCGTGTGTACTGCTGAGAGGTTCCATACTACCACAAAACAGCTGTCCAGTGCTCCTAGGTTTTTAATGGTTCCCCAACTGATGTCATTCCGTGATGAATACTAACTAAAAAACAAATCCCTATAAACCTCAAACTTTATACACATGACAGACTTACATTAAACAAATTCAAATCAGCTACTACTCCAACTAACATACAACCGAGTATTCCCCCACATTCGTAGCTGCTAACAACCAAATTTGCTAAAGTGTAAAAGTGAAAGGAAACAAGAACATAGTGCACATGAATTATCGGATGTAGGACCATAATGTGTAGTGAACACATTCTACACACAGTAAAATTTTTGTTTTCTTTAAAGAAACTTTACTACTCTGAGTAGTAAATCTAATAGGATAGAATAAATCTCAATAGCTACCAAGTTGTTGAATGTCAACATGAAGATAACATTCTGTTACAACTTGCGTAATATACTGAGTTTGGACAGTCTTTGTTATTAGTTTGTGATATTTCTTAAACACATCCACACGTTTTGTGGAACTATGGCTGTTTGGTTTAGGTAGTTGACTTTGAACTATTGGGTTACAGGTTCGAACAAAACTCCACTAACAGAAGTTTGAGCAGGTTTGTACTATTATTAGACCCAACTCAACAAGTGTGGCTCATTGCCTACTCCATGAATATGTAAAAGATTGCTGAGTACATTTCGATTAAAATGTTTTACTATTTCTAGTCATCCTATAATGAGATCGAATTTACTTTCATGCAATGTGAATTCGGAGTGGTGTAACACAGAGTTAAGGTATGACGCCTAAATTGTTGAAATGTTTGAAGTATTTCCATCTGGAGAATGGAGATTTTTTTTCTTCTTCTTAGCATTTAGTTTGTTTTTATTATGGTAACATTAGAGAGTTATATATCCACTAACTATGATTTGAGAAGCGGGTATGACAGAGAACTGCATGCTTCCGGAGCATGATGGTATTTTTTTGTGACCTTGAAATAAGAATAATACTGATGAGATGATGTATTGCACATGATATTTTTCCCAGTATAACAGTGCTGTTGTATAAATAATCATCCAGTAATATGTAGATAATCCTAGCCACAGAAATGGACACACGTTCTCATAAAGATTCAACTGATTTCCATAAAAATTATTGATGATCAAGTCACATTTCTGCAGAAGATTTGAATATCACGCTGTAAAAATTAAACCTTGAATATATTTTGATTTTTCGTATTGTTGTTTTTTCCTGTTTTTTAGGTCATATTTTAAATTTCACCTAAATTAAAACATATAGAGATAACCCAGCATAGTCAAGAGACATATGATAGCCATGGTATGGAAGGTTAATTACAATAAGGTAATTAAATAGAAATGAGAAAAACAAAGGTGATAACAGAAATCCCATCACTGGTACATAACAGCAAAACAAATGAGTATAATTGACGCATTAAATTCGACGCATTCTATTTTTTAAAAACTCCAAGTCTATAGAGAATTAGGGCCGATATTCATAAGCCTACATGAACTATGATTCAACTTTTTAGGCTGCATTTCGGCTAAACAACTCCACTAGAAGTTAAAACCACAGAGTATTAAAAAAACTCTGCAGCCAATAAACGGTCATCACTTTTATTTTTATCTGTCTAGGATTAATTCTTTGTATTAAACAATGATCAGGGTCTTTTTTTCTCTTAATGTTAGTAACTTCTAAAGTTATTCCCTGTCATATACTTACAAAAAAATTATTGTCCTTATTGTTATAGTTAATTCAAACAATTCAATTTGCATTTTACTGATTGACCATCAGTGTCTGAAAGTGTGGTGTATCTTGAGTACCAAAGATGTACGAAGTACTCTGTAAGGAATGAAAAGTTGTAATATAATTCAGCACTCATATGCACGTTCTTGCAGTGCGTAACGAGCTAACTCCATGATGTGAGGTAAAACTGGCAGTTCTCGGTAGGTGGAGAGGAGCTTGAACCTACAACTTACTATAAGAAAGTCGAGTATTCAGAATCACCAGCCACAGGTTCAATTTTGCAAAACTGGAAGGAAATTGCTGTTGCTTTCATTCCTGAAAGTGGATTGTTAGAAATAGTTGGAAAATGACGGTTCCTGGATAGTTTTTGTCGCAGTAGACAGGAATCTAGACTTATATTTACTGGGGAGAAATCACTGACCAAGTTCAACTTCAAAAAGTGTTGAATATTACTTAGTAACACTATTCTGTTTTCTTTCATTGTATGTAATTGGAAGGATTATTCCACCAAACAGAATATACACGATGGTTTGGCGTTGGGTCATTTGAAGATAGTCATTAATCTCAGAATGATGTGCCAGTCATTTAAACAGATGATTATACATTGGTTTTAAGGAGAGAACCGTACACACATCTAGGCTTTTTAAAACCAGGACGGTACAGTCTCATCCTGTGACACAACCAAATGAGTCTCTTTCCCCCGATGGACCAAATGTAATAAGTCAATAACTTCGTTATCTCAAAGACTAATCACGACAGCACCGTATAGTAACATTTTTGCCATTACTATGGAGCATCCCTACATTATTCGCCATCATTGACCTTTAGAAAAACTAGTAGTGTTAGTGGCATGACAAATGAGGTCAGATTCTAGAAACAAAAGGTAGAAAAGCAAGCATTCGTTTGAATCGAATCCCGACACCATTCTTTCCTGTGTACCCGTGATATATCCTCTCTGATGCGAGGGTGTCTAACGCTTGTATTTTTCACCGCCAACGACTAAATAGAGAACACTGCGTAAATATTTTTAGTATATAGAGATGTGTTCAGATACGATATTTTTTCCCAATCAATGAAGTAATCTCGAAATAAAGATTTTTGTGTCATGGATATGTCTAGTGACGGTTATCCGAGAGGTTTTATAATAACTTTTATTAACTCACACTAGGCACTGGTGCATCACACAAAGGCGGTCAGGTTGTGATGCCTTGTCGTAAGCTAAGGAATACTGGCATTAGGTTAGGATCTCACGGTGCACGTGACTTCTTAGATCGAATCAAGATCATGTTATAAGACATAGTTCAGAATCAAGACAAGTAGAGATCGCATTGTCGTTTCCTGACTTCCTCCGTTACAACTGTAAAAGAAATGAGAGTTCTTTGAATTATAAATTATACGACTGTCTCTCATCCACTGATAATTCCTATTATTTTCATCCCTTCAAACTTAGACTTTCGTATTGGTGTTATGATGCTTTGCATGGCACGTTTTCTTGTATCAACGCTGTACCGAATTTATCAAAAAATACCTGAATAAGAAAAGAAGAGATAATACAGCGAGGAAAATTCTATTTTTCAATGATATTACTTGGAGAGCTATATATACAATTGTATTTATACATATCATAAACACATAACAGTCTGTTATTGAACCACAGGGTTTAGTCGGATCATTGGTTTAGTACTAAAAACTGAAATCAAGAGTGGAAAGTAGTTACCTAATAATCTTTTACACAATGGAAATAATAACAAAGGTGAGGAGTTTGACAAGATGTGAAATGCGATGGCTGAGTGTCGGTTTGGTAGATATAAAGAGGGTGAAGAAAGAAACGAGGTTGATAGTCAAAGTGATGATAGTAAACTAATTATAATGAACTCGAAAAATTGTGGATTTTAAGACCATGGTAAGATAAGAGATTGAACATACTTCTGCACGCAAAGATCAAACTTGAATGGGTGGAACTGCCAGTGCTTCTGATGTTTAAAACTGCCGAAGACGTACTCCTTTTGAACCATTCCCTTTGATTATGTATATGATGCTGAAGGAGGACTTTGGTGAAGCTACATGTCCAGAGTTGACCAAATGTTCAGGAATTTAACTGTCAATTGATTCACATTCTACCCTGGACAAGTATGCAGGATAGTGCTCAGAAGTGAACGCTACGCAGGAGTAGGTAAATTTGTAGACACGTATTAAGGTGGTTCAAAGCGACAACTTGTCCTTAACACACAGCGGAACGAATTTTTGACCAAAGAAGCCTATCTGCAGCTTCGCAGAGAAAAATTACTTCAGCGATTTGAACAACCGATTCTTCAAGATATCTACGGTCGTATCAACTTTGAAATCAACGTTCATAAATTCTTCTTTGGAACGCGAGTACTTGCTTCGTATTGTTTTAATTTCACGTTTTTTCTCAATAGACCCAGATGGCTATCGATCTTGTATGAAAATAAAGTGAAGTTTTTCTAGTACACTAGTGCAGATAATTCTGATTTTTGATGACGAAGAATACATCGGATTCCTTTTTCTGCTTAAATCAAAATGCACTCCGCAACCATGTGCACGTTTGTGCAGTAGGCAATGAACCACGCCTAATGTGTGAGGGTTATAGATACCACCTAGCTGCCTAAACCTCGGTAGGTGGAGTGAGGCTATGAAATCACATGGAACCACATAGAAAACAGATAGTTTCCGTGAGAGAAAAGCTGGTAAATAGAGTAGGGATGTCAGAAAAATTATTTGCTTACTGAATACACTGACATTATTAATTGAGTCGACAAAGTCGAAAAAACCAAATACATTATGCATATTTAGCGGTTTTTTGACTGGTTGAAAGGCATCCAATAGCCATCCAGCGATGACATGCCATAGAGACTTGTTCATATCCAAAACTGGACACAGGGGAAGATCTTTTAGTAATTTCGGGAGACAGAATAAGTGAGAAGTTACAGAGCCAGATGGTCGCAACTGCTCAAATGGTTCTGGGTTAATTCAAGACTCATTCTTCATTTTCTTAAGAATCTGAGTGAGCTTTCGTTTAATTTGCTCAGCTGCATCATTTTGAGTAGACTCTTGTGAAATTTTACTCTTATCTGATAAGATAGAGTATGTTAGCGTTATAGTTCAGATGAACTATGGGGACAATATTAACGCCTGTATCAGGACGAACTAATAGACAATTTTTTTTCAAAACCTCACTCAGTTGCTTTTTATGATCCTTTGTTAACAATAGTTTGCAATAAGGTTTCGCATCAAGATATTGATGACAGCAATTTAAAACAGTTGGTCTGAACTGTCCGAGTCTCTTGTTTGAAACTGGTAGGAGAGCATTTGTTTGGTTGATCAGATTTTCAAACTGAACTTTTTTATGTCTAAGTTATTAGCAGTTGCTGAAGTATCACAAGATTTCTGACCCAGAGATAATACTTGCATTTGAATGGAAGTCAAAGTACCCTCGAAGTAATTGAATGTGTATTTTTCCGGTGCTTCTAGAAAACGAGAGCGTATCTTTATTGGTTTAAGATGTTCCATCAACTTAGGTTTAACGTCTTCTGATCGACTTTCCAACAGCGTAGGGACGTAGCCTATGAAATTAGTGCGATCGTTTTTGGATAGATCAAATACTGCATGAACTCTCAAAAAGAGATTACACTCCAACTCAGGTAATCGTAATTCAATTTTATCTTCATCATTTAATTTCACATCCACCAATAATTTTCATCGTGTCAAACCCCTCGTCTTTATCATTATTTCCATTATCTGAAAAGGTTATTCAGTAACTACTTTCCATTCTTGATTTCAGTTTTTAGCACTAGGCTAATGATCCTACCACACCCTACTGTTCAATAATAGACTGTTATGTGTTTGTGATATATATATATATATATATATATATATATATATATATATATATATACACGATTGTACATATAGCTTTGGAAAATGATATCGTTGAAGAAGAAAATTGTCTTCACTGAATAATCTCTTCTTTTCGTTATGACTCGATGGGCATGTTTCGTCGTCTAAAATTGAACAAGCATCAGATATTGAATAGGCACAGACAAAGTCATGTACCGTTCTTGAACATATATTCTTCGAGTACACTATAGGTTGATCATACCCGCTACACAAACCATAGAATCAGAAAACAGCATTCAATAACCTTAGCATACAAAAGCATAATATCCCACCGCTTTTACACGATCCTTTTGCATTAAAAAATCTAATTCTACAAAAGTTAACTAAGGTTATCAAAGTTGTCTTTAAATTGATATACAATGTAAACCTATTGTGACGGTAAATTGTCATTTTAGTCACATAGTAGGTAACAGTTTTCATCGAACGGAAAAAAGAACCCTTGATATCAATTAAAAAAAAAGTAAACATACCTACACTTTTAGGGTATGCATTCTGATTCTCTGTAAGCATTACCCCAATCCAATCAGCTATAGCATAGCGTAGAAATGTACTGCACATATGAACAGTAGCAGAACTGAATAGTAGTAAACGTTGTCTTGGGCTTAAAGTAAGAAACAACCTTGAAATTTGATGAATAACAGTCAATTTTACAGGTTGTGTTCTTTGATAGTGTTGATCGTTTGTACAATTCATTTTTTGTTCAGCTTCTAAAATATTAGAAAATAATGTTACTAATTTACCACGTTCAATTATGAACTGTGTATGTGTGTGTTTGTGTGGAATATTTATCAGCCCGTTAAAAGGACAATCAATAGGTACAGCTTGATTTTATTACAAACGCTTATCACAAAAATATCACTACAAATTTGTTACCTTGTATTTAAGTGAAATAAACTGGTTGTGGAGCTGACGTTCATTGGTTTATGGAGAGTGCACTTTCGGCCAATGCCTTATGGCATCGAACACCAGTATGCCTACAAAGGTTTCAGAAGGTAGCTAATAATATCATTGGCCCTTACACAAAAGATACGGTTTATTATTTACTGCACAACTTTGAAGAATGATGCTGAGTGGATTTCGATTTCGAGACAAACTTCTCTACAGCGATGATAAAAGAGATTATTTGACTTTAGTGTGTACTACTACTATTTCAACAAACGAGATCAGTTTCTAATACAATTATATAAATTATTTGAAAATTTCATTCATAGGACTGTTGGTTCACAGCAAACAGGAACAGAGCATCATAAAACGAGTTCATGAATTCGTCTTCAAGCTTCACATATGCGATTTTACTCAAACTAAGAAGTTTACAAAAGATAAGGCTGACAAGTAATTTCCCTATAAATCCCAACAACAAAAAGATGGGAACTATCTGAACCATGTAATGTATTTGCGCAACACATTTCGAACAATCTGATCACACACGTATATGTCATAAGTGTTTATATAAAAATTCATCATCCATAGAAAACTTAGCGAAAAACCTAATTGAGCAAGCCCATCTATATCGAAGATATGTCGATGACATCCTAATCATTTCTGATAACTCAAGTCAATCCAGTTCAATAATAAACCGACTAAGTGAAGTGCAAAGCAGCATATCCTTGACATGTGTAGAAGAGGACGACGACTGTTTGCCCTACTTGGACATTAATTAATCGGCTGTAGGATGGATCTATAAGACGATCTGTCTGTAGAAAACCTACATGAACAGGGCAATATTTGAACTATCATAGCTTTCGTCCAGTTCAGTACAAGCGAGCGTTAGGTGCTTATACAATAGAATTCAACAAATATGCGCAGATGATACCTTGGAAGACTAGGGAACATTGACTGAAATACTGTTGGAAAATAACTACCCACCAAAATTTATTAGGCAGCACAAAATAACCGAAGCGCCGAAACCAGTTCACCTAGATGTCTTCATCAGTCTTCCGTACAAATGTGACTCTCATAGTGCAATCCTTAAGCAGAAACTTGACTCTGCTGTCAGAAGGACTTACTATGCAGCTAGTGTTCGGTTAATAGAAACCATCAAGCGTCTATATTCTCCCAAAACGTTACAGCATGTGAACGACAATATTACATCCCATTACATCTACCAATTCAAATGTACGTGTGGTGACATATACATAGGGAGGACTCAGAGATCCATGCAAGTAAGAGCCTCGGAGTATATTTCAAGGTGCCTTCAGAAGCAAATTAAATCACCTGAACCCACAAACGTTGGTAGCAGACGTCCAAGCTCTTCGATCGCGAAACATATTGTTGAGATAAGTCACAAGATTGACATTGCCACTTCCTTTAGACCTATTTACTAAACGTGTTAGGGACAGATCCTTAAATTTGTTGATGCCTTAGCTATTAGGAAGTTTGAAGCACCTTTGTGTGTATTCAAAAACAACTTGCTATCACATTAAATCTCCCTTGGTGAATTCAACTCTGAAATCAAGTTTAATGTACTGTTATTTTCACTCAATTGATTTTCACTGTTATTCGGCCTTTAATTCAAACTTTCTACATAACTTCTTTTCAAATTCTCACTCCTTGTTTTGATGAATTTTTATACAAACACTTATGACATATACGTGTGTGATCAGATTGTTCGAAATGTGTTGCGCAAATACATTACACGGTTCAGATAGTTCCGCATCCTATTGTTATTGAGCTTTGCCTTTTAACATGATGGTATTTATGGATGTTAAGATCGCATAAGTGTAGATGAATATTCATATCTATGGATATCCCTCAGAAGATTAGCTATCCTGTAACGTACATTGACAATATGCAACCAATAATACTGTCTTTTGTTTGTGGCGCCTAGAGCCTGTCCAAAATAGATAAGAGATGAGTCGAAGTTTTATAAGACTGGAATCAAAAACATCGTATGAGTATCTGATTTATTCTGCTTAGTGCAGTTACCGAGCGCAAGTGACTGACAGAACAATACGGAATAAGAAAGCGCTACTAACGCAACGAGACTCTTGAACTGGACACTAATAGCGACTGTTCTCCTTCAGAACTTAATATTTAAATGAGTCGTAAAAATCAGAAGACAAAGGCTGACCTGTGGCTGTAAGGAAGACGACTTTATTTGACAAAAAGCACATCATTTATATACAGTTTTCTGCAGAATATAAAGACACTAGGTTAGAAGTTGGATACTTATTTTGATTGGTCACCTGTAGGAGAAAGTTATCCAATAAGGTTTTCCCTGACAACACAGTAACATGAAGCAAGGTTGGAAACCAAAACTTTTACCTTAGCGCCCGATGACAGAAGGCTGATTTCGTTTTAAGCTGCTTCATATAGCTTAGTCTATTCCAACAACAGGGATAAAGAAATGTTTTAAATGGCGATAAGTCTAAGTCTAGCGTAATAATATTCTCAATGCAACTGTCTTTGAAACGTTATCGGTCTCGAGTTACCTACTGTGCAGTGTTTACCCAAGGATGTAAGCTGAATCGAAAAGGTTGTTTAAAATGTCTGTGGATGCACATATTACAGATATAAAAATTTCTTTATCCCTTCTAGAGCAATAATTTGCACTTCTATGTTTCAATGTAAAGTATGGTAACACAAACAAGTCAGATTCGGTGGGCATAACGTCTTGAATACACTTTTAATTATTCTCGATGTGAAGCTGAGAAGAAAAAAAATCAGCACTACAGCATTCAACTGGCTTTTTTGTAATTACAATGTTCTGAGGGCATTTCAGTTGGCTTTCATAGTAAAGATGCTTGAAAACAAACGGAAATCATGCTGTCATCAAGAAATTAATGCAGCATTCGCGTACGATTTACTTTGGTTCAAACAAAGTTGTAATGGAATAACCTAAACAAGTCAAGCTAAGAGTTCCAACTCAATCGTCACACACTTTAGTATCGGCTACCAGCTATTATAGTTAGCTTTCAAAGAGCAGGCGAGATTAAAAACTAAATACACAAAGCTGTATACAGTTGCTTAATTGTATATCTTACAGACAAAAGCTAGTCATTTTTTAAACTTCTTACAATGGATTTTGCGAATTCAGTCTTAACAAATGAATATTATGCACCATGTCTTCATTCAGAAAGAAAGGATAATTTGCGAATCAAATATAAATCATTTTAAGTCAAGTTACTTCATTTGTAAAATCAAACAAAATTTCTGATAGATTATAAAATCAAGTAGGTTAATTTTACACTGATAAAGGAAATAGGATAGCCTTACTTTCATCTAAAATCTCTGCTTGATTATTTGCAGTGGTAGACATTTGCATTGGATTAGAATAACACTCCCTATGCTTTAATACTGAATCTGGATTTCTAGGAAATGATTGATCATTCGTTAAAATTTCAATAGGTGAACATTTGTTAGAAATCAATGATTCAGTTGATATAGTTTTTGTATGAATTTTGTTATCAAGCTTAGTGAGATGTGCCGTTTGGAGACGTTGATATACAATAAGCAATAAAGCAGATATGATGCACAAAATCCCTGTAAAACAAAATAACCACATTTAAATTAGAAATAAGTAAATAAAAATAGAACTTTTAATGGAAATGAATGACTAGGAATTCACCAAAACCTAACTTCATAGTTGTATTCAATAGGAATTGATCATATTGAGGGACCCCTGGAAAACCCCTAAAACAGCTGAGCTAATTACAATTCTGACGTTAGGTAATATTTCACATTTTCATAATCAAAAGAACTTCACATTCAATAATAGATTAGAATTCGCAGATTTGGATAGCTTGCGAAAGCAAACTTGTAAAATATGTCATAAACTTCGTTAAATATTGGAGAGGATTTTTGTCAGAAACTACCAATCGTTGAAAGTTGTGGTATAAATTGGAATCCAATTTTCTAAATCCCCATAAACCTTTAAGTCGCATTGATGCCAAGAGCTGATTAGTAACTTGCTTCGAGATGACATTTCCCGAAGTTATAATGAGAAGTCATGAACCGTGGGGTAGCAAACCAAATCGGATGCGAAGACAAATACTCAACGATGACACTGGATGAAGTTTACACAATATAGTCAATTGGCATAAATAGGAAAATGTAAACAAATTCGATTCTGATCTAGTGACTCAATGGTAATGTGCTCTCCATGAAACTTGAAGATTCTCAGCTTGATTCCTAGCGGTGCGCACTGCTGAGGAAACATACAGTAGGACAAAACTACTGTCCCATGCCACGTGGTTTTCCATAGCTCTCCAAGTGATGTCAGTTAGTAATAAATAACCAACTTAAAAAGATACAATTCATTAACTGAGTTTATAATACAAATGAAGCATACAGAATATTAAATCAGCTGTTCAACAACTGTCATGTTTATTTATGCAAATTATCATATTTTAAGATAGGTGTGGTGAAAATTAACCTTTAATAGTTACACATGAACTGCAAAATTTTTAATTAAAACCACACCAATTACACTGTAAAGATATCATAATTTTTTCTATGGTTGAAGATAAGCATTGCTAATCAACCACTGATAAAACGTAGGCCTAAATTTTAGATCATCATCATGATGACTTTTCTTAAGTATACAGCTAAAAACATTGATACTTATATTAGTTTAAACGACAATTTCAGAGTAAAAAATCCCATTTAGGTTTAACATTAGTAGGCAATAATCAATTAAAGGGTTGATGATATCCATCAATCAGAAATCACTAAAGATTATCCCCTTATATGGTAAGCGAAGATTTTTGCGTATTCATACTTGTAGTTTCTCGTTGCTATACTGGGTTAGATTTCTCGACCTCCGTTAGCAGATGGACGAAAGGTCCGTCCTGGATCTCACTGTTAGTCAGACTACAATATAATGAATATCTGGGCAGTATCGAGGCATCCATATACGAGCCTATCTGTCAACAAAGTTCGAGCAACTCAACCCTGTGAAGCAACGGGAAATAAAAAGTATCAATCAACAACAACTGATAAGCATTACAAAGAAGGTGGATATCGTGACCTAGTGGAGAACCCTTTGAAGTTTGAAGAGATGGATACTCGGTTCAAATCTCCTTGGGAATAAAATCACTCAATGGAATGCAGGTATATCCAGCTGACGAATTTCAACTAGGACGAGGCGTGCGTACTGGATTTTACTGCTGGCCCATCAAGTAGACTGCGACGGAATTTTGTTCAGTATTCACCCAGTTATCTTTGTCAATCAAAATCTGAAATATCATTAAGTAAGATTTTGAAAATTACACATGAATACTTTTTAGACTAAAGATTTATGACCGACAGTGGCATAGAGAAAACAACGATGATATAAAAAGTGAAAAAAAAAAAAGAATTTCCTATCGAATAACATTTATTCATTGAAATTAAAATTGATTTATTCGGATATTTGTATTCCATTGAATGTAATTGATTAGAAAACTGTCCAAGACATGGGTGTACAAGGACATATGCAGGTAGAAAGTAAAGTATGTTCAATAATAACCTCACCTCGCCTGATTAACTAGTTCACTAGTTACTAGCCCGTCCTAAGCCCGGGTAAAGAGGGAAGGTTGGGCATAGGGCTAGCAACCCTACACCGTAAAACAAATCTAACCTCTAAAGAAACTTCAAAGCACAAACGATATATAAAAGATAATAACAAAATTATTCCTCCCTGGAATCGGAGAGGCGAAATGACGTCAGTTGGTGAAAGCCTGCCTTCGGGAAGCCAATTGGCCGGGCCGATGTGTCTTCTCTCCCTCGATGAAAACGAAAGTAAACGTGGGGACATGGAATGTCTGCACGATGTTTGAACCCAGTAAGGCAGCCCAGATTGTAAACGAGATGAAGAGGTATCACATTGAAGTGCTTGGAATTTGCGAAAGCAGATGGAATGGAAGTGGACTCTCCAAACTGTCAACTGGAGAATCAATAATCTACTCCGGTATTGTCACCTAGACGACAAACACAAGCACACTGAGTGTTGGAGTGACTATCATGATGTTCCCAACAGCATCGAAGGTCCTCTCTCATGCAGTGGGAAACCAATCTCCTCCAGGATCATGACAGCAAGGCTCAACTCAAAAGGAAGGAAGGTCACAATCATACAATGCTACGCTGTGCACCTACAAATAATGCAGAGCAAGAGAAAAAGGAGGAATTCTAAAGACAACTTCAATCAACACTGGACAAGCTCCACCCCAGTTGGCGATATCAAGATTCTAATGGGCGACATGAATGCCAAACTGGGAGGGGACAACACGGGAATAGAACTAACCATGGGTCGAGAAGCGCTCGGTGAGGTGATGAACGAGAATGGAGAATTGTTTGCAGAATTCTGTGCATTCAACGATTTGGTGATTGGAGACCAGGCACTGTGTTCAAGCACAAGGATATCCACAAAACGACATGGATATTACCAGATGGACACACTAAAAATCAAATCGACTTCATCTCAATCTCAAGAAAGTGGAGACGTAGTCAACCTACTTGACACAAGGTCAAGAAGAGGAGCAGATGTAGGTTCACACCACTTACTGACTAGTGCAAGGAAACTACCTTCCAAATCAAGTTAAAAGCCTTCAAGGAAGCTGGTGATAAACCGCAGTTCAAGTACAACACTCGGAACACAAACTGAAGGACGAAACTACGAAGGAAATCTTCACGTCAGCCAGCCATCAAGACAAAATGGGAAATATGGAGGAACATTCCTGAAGAAAGCTGTGTGGAAGAACACTGGAAGTCTTTGAAAGCTATGTGAAAAGAAACCTGCACAGTCGTATTAGGAAGGAGGAAGAAAGAAGATAAGGAATGGATCTCGATAGACACATGGAAGCTGACTGAGCAGGGAGAGGAGGATGGTGAAGCAGAAGATGAACCAGTGCAAGGATGCTCAACGACAAGAGGAGGAACTGAGTACAATGTATAAAACACCACACTGGACAGAGAAGTGAAGAAGAGTGTGTGGAAAGACAAAAGACACTTCTACGAAACACTGGCAAGTGAAGCAGAACAGGCTGCAGGCTGGTAGGAGGGACCTGACGACATTGTATCAAATAACCAGGTTGCTATCATAGAAGAGATCAATGCAGACGAGGCCAATAAAAGATGATGACGGAAATTCAATTACGAAAGAAGAAAAACAAAGGAAACAATGAGCCGACCACTTGAAGAAGCTCTTGCATCAACCACCACCACTACCTGCACTTCGTCCAGAAATACCACCTGCATCCCAGCCACTGAACTACAAGTGAACATAAATCCCCCAACAAAAAAGGAAGTCCTGAACGACATAAAGCTACTGAAATGTGGGAATGCAGCAGGACCACATGGAATCCCGCCAGAAGCACTGAGAACAGACTCAGAGACAACAGCGGACATGCTCACACCACACCACTATTGCAGAAGGTGTGGGAGAGAAGGTACCTGGCGATTGGGAGAAGGGTTACTTTGTCAAACTCACGAAGAAGGGAGACCTAAGTCTTTGCAAGGACTGGCGCGGAATCACTCTCCTGTCCACCCAAAACAAGCAAAATATTAAGCCGCATCATTCTGGAGAGACTAAAGGATGCGCTAGATTCAAAACTACGACCGTAACAGGCAAACTTAAGGAAGTACAAATCATGTGCAGACCAAATTGCAACGCTACTCTGCGCGTCATCATAGAACAGAGAATAGAATGGCAATCAGCTCTCTACTTCAACTTCATCGACTTTTAGAAAACCTTTGACAGCGTCGACCGAGAGGTAATTTGGAAACTGCTTCAATACTACGGAATACCACAAACCTTTATCTGCCTCATTCAACAACTATATGAAGATGCCACATGCCAGCCAAGTAATTCACAATGGGAAGCTCAGTGATGCCTTTGCAGTGAAGTGAAGACAGGAGTGAAACAAGGTTGCCTACTATCCCCCATGATATTCCTGATTGTGGTCGACTGGACTGGATGATGCAGCAGACAACAGTGGGGAGCTGTGAGAAGAGGGGATACGCTGGACTGCGGAAAAGAACCTAGAAGATCTAGATTTCGCCAACGATGACTTGTGTCTGATGTCACACAAACTTGAAGATCTACAGGCGAAAACTAACAAGTTGGCAGAAGAGGCAGGGTAGTGAAGACGGGACTTAAGGTGAATATCGAGAAGACAGAAGTGATGAAGATACCGCACCACCAACAACAACAAACCCCAATCACCATCAATGGGAGAAACTTAAAGGAAGTAACCTCCTTCACCTATCTAGGAAGCACTGTTTCAACTACAGGTGGCACAGGCACAGACGAGGATGTCAAAGTCAGCTAGGATCGGAAAAGCAAGACAGGCCAGCGTTCATTAGCCTGAAACCAGTTTGCAGATCTTCTGCACTGCACTCAGCGTGAACAGGATCTGGATTTTCAACACCAACGTCAGTTAAGTCAGTGCTTCTGTATGGTTCAGAGACTTGGCGCGTCACGAAAGAGATTCCCAACAAACTACAGACATTAATCAACAACTGCCACCTACGCTGGCTCGCTACTGAAGATCAGATGGCCAGTA